GCAGCAGTACTAGTGTGTAGCTAAAATCTAGTAGTTACTGATGGTCTAGAAGAAGGAGCAAGTTAAAATATCCCTATTCCAGTTTCCATGCCTATATTCCTCGGATATTCAGGTGTTTTGTTCTATTCTCTGTACGCCTGTGATTCACATTGACCAAAGAACTGTTCAGTAAACTTGTTATTTAAAATTCCCATCATCCTTCATCCTCAGCCATAGAAATTTCATAGCAGTTGAATAATGGAAATGAGGATGCATTAGAAATTAAGTCTATCTTAAGGCATTTTTTCATCTTGAAAGGTTTTTGGGTAGAAAAACAGTCTCTAGAATCTATAGTAGATTTTATTTATGGATGTTAAGAACTTACTCCTTCACTTTTAATAGTTTTATATTCCAAACACTTTTCTCTCCTACTTGCTTAATAATTTCACAGATAGACAAGCAGTTTCTAAAACACATTTTTAGTCATGTACAAGTAACAGCAAAGATAACCCTAACCCACATCCCTGTACTGTTCTCCCCAAAAACACCAAGGTACCAACACTTATTTGAGTGTGCCACAAGCACAGCTCTTTATCTCCTTTAATAAGGAGCACTGTTCCTCAGGCAGTCTGTCCAGGAGAGGGAAATGCAAATTGTTGCTTTGGAATTGAACAGGTTTCCTGCTCTTTGGTCATAATGAATGTAATATCTTTCCCTGGCGTGGAGCTGAGCAGTGTTTAACTCCCAGATCAGCTGCTCCCTGTGTTCCACATGTCTGCAGGCCTTTCCTTTATCAGCTCCCTTCCAGCATCCCTGAACTGGAAATTACAGCTGGCAGCATAACACAGATATCACTGCTGGGGCTCACAGGACTTTTGCAGTGTCAGGATAAAGTTTAGCACCAACTTTTTATTTTCTACTAAGCCTTAAATGTTATATTTATCATGCAGTGTTATGTTCTGAAGGGGTTTTTTTTTGCAATTGATGGTAAATGATTAACTGGCAGTGTTTCATTCAGCTGAGGCACTTACTCCTTAGCATGCTGAAAAAGGTCTTTAATGGGTGGGAGGCAAGTTGCTCAATGAGGGTTTTTTTTTTTTCCTTGATCACCAATCTTCTGTATAGTATTAATTATCCAAAACAAAGTCACTGTTAAATAACCTCAACAACTCAAACAGGAAAATGGTTAAAACAAAGGAGTGACTTCTGCTTCAGGGTAAGTGCAGCACTGTATTGTTTCATTCCATACCATGAAATACAATCTTTTGAGTAGCTGAAAATACTGAGAGCCATCACAAACCCAGTGTCCTTATAAAACAAAGTCATTTATTCTGTTTTGGTACTCTGTGTGCTGCTGTTATACTCTAAATACAAAGATGATTTTTCCTCTCTGGTGGCACGGCAAAAGTAGAAGTGTATTTGCATGCTCCTTGACAATTTTAGATTATAAATCATCTTAGCTACTAATCAATAAATTCAATTTTAAAATCTAGATTTTTTTTCATAATCCAAGGATTTCCATTTATTTATAAGTTTATAAACTACAGCTGATATCACAATTTATTATAAGGAACATATTAATGGGATAAGAGAGCTTTCCTCCACTCTTTATGGTCTGATCATGAGCTAGTGCCAGCAAAGTAAATGAGTCTTTAAACCATAACCTAAACTCTGTTCAACCCTTTCTTCTCACTGAATTTTCTTACCACTGAATATAAAGGGAGAATTATAATTCTGAAATCACACAAGAAGCATCTCAGATCCAACCCTGCTAGTTATGTACCACAAGGCACCTTGTTAAAGCACATTTCTAAATGAAATAGAAAACGATACAGCAGATAAAAAGTCATTGTGGGTGAGCAGACAGAAATGCTTGTATGGACCAGTGGGGATGATGGGCTCTGAGCAGCTCCCTGCTGCTCCAGTGTGGGACTGGAGTGCTGTCCTAAACAACTCAAGGTATTTCACCTCATGTGCTTTTCTATTTCCTTCCTGTGGGAAGTAGAGCATGTTGTCATTGCAGAGCCACGAACCACAAGGGCAAAGGGTCAGGCAGCACCAAACCCAAGGTGCCATCCTTCCTCCCAGCTTTCTCTGCCCCAAAACTGCCAGGGAGAGGAGGCAGATGTGGCTGCAGGTGCTGCAGAGCCAACACTCCAACACTCCTGAGGTGTTCCCCAGCCAGACCTCTGCTCAGTGCTCATCTGTTGTTTCTCCTCCCCACTCACCTCCTGCTGCTCCTCTAAATCCCCTCTGCCCCAGCGTGGGCCCCAGAGAGCAGAACCTGCAGGTGCCAGGCACAGCCACAAAGCCTGGCCTGCATCAAGTGGGCTCTGACCATCCTGAGTCACTTTTGCTATGAACACACTCCTGAACAGAGCTCAGTTTCCAGAAGCCAGTGATGTACTTGTGATGTGAACAGCCAGACATCTGCTAGACATCTGCTCTCTTCTCTGAAAATGCCTCGCATCTTCTTCGTGGCAATCCCTGGTGCTTCAGCTGGTCCAAGAGCAGAGCCCTGCAGCCAGGCTGTCCCAGCCTGTGGAAGGAGGACAGGGACACCTTGCTCTGATTCCCTCCACCAGGTGCTGCCCCACCATCAGCACAGCCTGACCCTGAGGGTGATAGGAGCACAGTGGGGGCACTGGGCTGTCTGGATCGGGTCATTTGGGATGAAGTGGGGCACTGGGCTCTCTCTGCAGACTGGCACCTTCCACCAAACCTCAGGTGCAGGACGGCTCTGCCTTCAAAGGGAGGATCACACAGACAAAGCCTCTGCTCACCAGCTGGCTCTGACTTCATTTCCAGCTCTGAAGCCTTCCTCCAGCTGAAAGCAGATTTTTATCTGCCTCATCAAGTTGCTTATGGGGTGCTGCTGCCTGCCAGGCTTCGTAACCCTCTGTGCCTCAGTCCTTCATAGAGCTTCCCAACCCCATAAATAATGTAAGTATAAATGTTGTAAACACTGTTCCTGATCGTGGTGTTCCCAAGGGAGTATTTTTCTATTTCATATCAAAGCAGTTTTGTTCCTTGTAGCCCCAGCTGTCATGGCCAGAATTCCATAGCAGGTAACACCCTGCACACCACAGGGCAGCACCATCCCAGGGTTTGGAAGTACATGGAATTTTGGTCACATTAAAATACAGAAGCTTTGTTCGAGGCTCTTTTCATTAGCTGGTACAGATCACCATGCATGTATTACCCACTGTTGTTATTTATGACTCCAATAATCCTCACCACATCTACAGAGCCTTCCGGAATCTGTTCCTATTTCCATTACAACAGGATGGCTTGGGGCCTGCGTTCTGCTGACCCTGGTAGAAATTTCTTCATTAAGCAGGGCAACGTGCTGCATGCAGGTAACATTCCTGAGCTGGCAAACCAACAGTGTTTCCACATTTTATATTACAGCACCCTTTTTCCCCTGAGGAGTATTACTGCAGTTTCTGTAGCTTCCTACTGAAGCACAAAAAACTTTCTTATGTTCTGTGTAAAACAGAGGTTGTTGTAATCATATTTTACTGCTTTCCAAGAAATGCTCTTTTTAAAATTGTTTGTGAAAAGACACTAACAGCTCTTCCAACCTGGTGAAACAAGAATAAGGTTTTATGACAAGATTTTCTTTGCATTTAGTTCCTTTGTAACCAGTGGGATAGAATTTACCTGACATGCTTTTTATAAACACTCCTGTGTAAAGCAGGGTGTCTGTTTGGGTTTAATGCCTGGAGGAAAAGAGAAATTTTTGTATGTGATGAATGTCACAGTGCGTTAAAATACCAGATCATTGTAGGCACTCACCCTAAAATCCATACCTGTCCAAAAGCCTGTTGAGCAGATTTGGTGAACACTTTTTAATTTTAGAGACAGAGCTTTCAGTGAGTGGCCAGTGTAGAACAAGGCAGAAGGTATTGCTCCTCAGAGATGTTTTGCCCTAACATGGCACTATAGAAATTAGTTTTTATTTTGTGTGACTGAGTGTACTATGTGGCCTTACAGCACAGTAGGCATGTAGGGGAAACAAACTGACAAAATTAAGAATTTCAGGTTTATCATTAAGAAGAATATTCATTACATAAGATTCTACAATTATGTTATTGCTACATGACCTTGCAGAACAAAGTTATGTTCTCAGTTAGGGCTTGCCTGACGCTGCCAAAGGAATCCAACTCAAAATATGCTGGATTGAGAAACTGAGTTCACATTCTTCTCTGCAGAGTGAGATTTAATAAGTGACAAACTCCATCCTTTCCAGATAAGAGCTGTGTGGTATTCCATACATAATGATGAGAGCTGGGAATGACAGGACAAAGGAGAATGGCTTCCAACTGTCAGAGGCTGGGATTAGATAGGACACTGAGGAAAATCCGTCCCTTTGAGCCTGGTGAGGCCCTGGCACAGGTTGCCCAGACCCGCTATGGCTTTTCCATCCCTGCAAGTGTCCAAGGCCAGGTTGGACGGGGCTTGGATCACCCTGGGACCGCGGAGAATGTCCCTGCCCACATCACAGGGTGGCACGGGATGGGCTTTAAGGTCCCTTTCAACCCAGGCCATCCCGGGATGCTCAGACAGCCGCTGGCTGAGGGCAGCCCGTGCTGTCAGACCCTGCTCCTTGGTCAGACCGTGCTCCTTGCCCTGGTGCTGCTGCTCCAGGCACAGCCTCCTGCAGGCGGGAACGGCTCTGTGCCCGGGTTCATAACCTCCCTGGAAAGAATACCAAAGTTCATTTGAGCAGCAGGCAGCTGTGGGTTTACACTGCCCCTACACACGCTGTAAAGAGAAAACACCAAAGGGCTTCACTGAACAGCGCGGAGCTTTGCTTTTCTCCCATCTCGCAGGGTGATGTTTCGCCGCGCCGCTGTCCCGGGAGCGCGGTCGGTGCGGAGCCCGTTCCGGGCCGGTGCCGGGGCCGGGGCCGGGGCGGGGTCGGCCCGGGGCTCCCCGCCCGCAGGTGCGGCCCGCCCAAGGCGCGGCCCGCGCAGGTAAAGCCGGAGCGGCCCCGCCGCCGCCGCAGTCTTGCCGCGATGTTCGGGGCGCAGCAGCAGCTGCAGCCGCCCGCGCTGCCCCCGCACCTCCAGCAGCAGCAGCAGCAGCACTACTACCGACGGCAGCAGCACTACAGCACCCTGCCCGCCCGCCGGCCCTGCCCCGAGCCGCCGCCCTGCCCCGAGCCCCCGCCGTGCCCGGAGCCGCCGCGGCCGCTGCCCTGCCTGGACCCCGCTCCGCACCAGCAGCAGGACGGCGCCGTGGCCTACGACCGGGTGCGCACCTACGGGCCGGGCTGCCGCCGGGTCAGCACCTCCTGCTCCTCCCGGGCCGCATCGCCGCTGGACTGCGGGCACGGCTGCGACCCGCCACAGGTACGGCGGGCACGGCCCGGCCTCGGCCCGGCCCTTCGGGAGCTGCTCCCGCACGGCATGAGCGGCCGTCGAAGCCGGAGCCCGACGCCGGAGGCTCTGAGGGTCGGGCCGGGCTCCCCCGGGCGTGGGACGGGTCCAGCCCCGGCCCCTCCGCTCGCCCCGCGCGTTTCTCCTGTGGAAACACCGCTGTGGGCGCTCCCCGCGGTCCCCAGCCTCAGCGGGCTGTCCCCGGGCAGGGATGCCCTGTCCCCGGGCAGGGATGCGGTGCCACCTTTCCCAGCCTTTGGCCCAGAAGGCGGCTTTGGCCGGCTCTGGCACGGCCCGGCCCCGGTGCCCCGCAGGCGCTGCTCCCTTCCCACGCCGCGATGTCCCCGCGGGGCTCTGCTGACTTCGGGCTGCTCATGTAAATGGAGCTCGAAGCCTGTGTGCTTATTAGTTCTCTTTGAATCGATGCTGCTTAATAAGGTCCGCGACTGAGGTGTTGGAGTCGGGCTTGGAAAGCCCTCGCAATGCAGTTCAGCAGGTTTGTTGTGTGTGTATCCAAGGCATGGCTTGAAAGTATCGGTGGAATTTAACACATGCAAATGGTGTATTAAAACTAGAAACCAATAGCTAAAGGACAGATTTGACTGCAAAACCAGAAAGGAGATCAAAATTTATTCTCAAACCACTTTTTTCTTCATACAGCAGAATGCCATTAACATCAATAGGATTGCTCTGCTGTACTCAAATGGCAATGTACATTTGTTTCAAGATTAACTCTTTCTGAATTTTCTTTCCCGTGTTATATTTACCTGTCAAAAAGAATCTGGATTAAGACCAATTACAAGATCTGCATTCCTTTCAAAGCAGTATTTGCATCGTTTGAGGGCTGCCTTGCTCTCCAGGATGGTTTCTGTAAATCCTGGGAAGTGATCGAGCAGCTGTGCTAATAGAAGGACAAGAGAAAATAGCCTCAAGTTGTGCTAGCAGAGGTTCAGGTTGGATATTAGGAAAAAATTCTTCATGGAATGGATGGTTAAGCATTGGAACATACTGCCCAGGGAATTGGTGGACTCACCATCCCTGGAAGTGTTCATAAATGTGTGGCTGTGGCACTTGAGGACATGGTTAAGCGGTGGCCTTGGCCGTGCTGGGGAATGGTTGGACTTGATGATCTTGGTGAGTTTCTGCAGCCTGAGCGAGTCATAATCATCATAAGGGCTGTGTAGGAGTTGGTAATGGCAGAGCCATTCCCTCTGTGTCCAGGTTGTTAATCCTCTTTTGCAAGATGTAGGGCAGGAGTGTAAACACAGGTCTCTCACCTCCCAGATAAGTGATCTGCTCAGCTAGGCTGGATGATAGTCTGAATTGCAGTTAATTAATTAAATATTCATTGGCATAAACATTGCAGTCCCAAGCTTCCTCTGTCTAGATAAGTACGTGAACAAGGATTACAGACTCAAATGCTGTCGCTGCTCTATGGAGGATGTTTAATTTTCAGCATCTGTTGTAGTCACTGAATCCATTACGTCCTGCTGATGAAAACTAATTTCTTGCTGAAGTGTTTTGCTGGACGAGACTTTAAAGACAAGAGGGTGTAGCTCAGTCAGGCTTTGTGTGGGTTGCAGTTTCAGTGGTGGAGAAGGAAGGTGCCTAATACAGATTATTAGGAAGTTATTAAAGCAGAAAACAGTAACAAACAGGGAAGTCAGCTGGGAGGAGGCAGAAGTGGCACACTTGGTGCTGAATGGGAGTTGCCTCAGAGAAGCCCTGGGAGGGTGTAGGACATTCCCAAAGAGTGGATCAGTTGCCCTTTGAGCCCATTGTGCAGGGCTAGGTAAAGTGAATAATGGACCGATACCAAGCTCCCATCTGTGTTTGTTTGGAGGATTTGGGGGTAGTGGCAGCCAGAGCTGCAGTTTCAGCTCTGTGTGCTGCTAAACCAAAGGGCTGTCTTTGGGCAATATTTAATTTGCTTCTGCAGAGTTTGTGTGGATTAACAATAACAGACATGTACATCCCTGTTGACACAGTGCTGGTTTTCAGTCATGTGGCTGGGGTGTGCTCTTGTGTTTATGTACACTTTTAACAAGCTGGAGAGAGGGAGAATTTGAAATTGCTGTGTGCACAGAGCACATGTGCTGGTGCTTTTTGTGATTCAGGGGTTTTTTTTACTTTTGTGGTTTGTGTTGGAGTAATTCATAGCAAATTTTGCTCTGCTTGATCTAAATGAAGTGTTTGGAATAAATTCCCTTCCAGTGTGGCTTATGTGTATGAATCCCTTCTCCATGGTCATGAAAAGATAATTCATGAAGTGGCACATATACAATGTTTGCAGAGGGCAAAACCCTGACAGGCTTTGTAGAGATTTTCTGTCCATGTGAGAAATTTTGGGAGTCAGGTGTTTGTGTGGCTGGGCTCAGTTCTGTGACGTGCAAAGGGCTCCCATGAAAATGGTGTAATATTAACCAGCTTTAGGGTTGGTCTGTGTTGTAACAGCGTCAGACACAGCCTGCCATTTCCCCATTTCACCTGCCAACTGGAACTCATAGATTAGGAGCAGATGACTGGATTGCTTGTCATTAGCAAGACAATGTGTTGTGGATAAAGGCCTTTGACATAGATTAAATTCTCACTTTCATCTCTAGGTTGGCTGAAGCCAAGGGTAACCTGTTGAAATTTTAAAAAATCATTTGATTGCTTCTACATAAAACTGGCGCACTAAGGATAAATCTATCAAGTGCTTATTCTAAAATTAAAAAATCTTATTTAGAAATCTTAAAGACTAGCAAAAATATTCATGCAAGTTTTAGTGTTACCTTTTAAAATTCTGCTTATAAGCCCCATGGCAGGGAGTTGGAACAGGAAGAACTTTAAAGTCCCTTCCATTGTGTGATTCTGTAAAACAGACATAGACTGACTGCTCAGGCTGTCATGAATTCCAAACCCACAACAGCACTGGGCTTTCCCTTTGGAATCCCACCTTCCCCTTCCTTTTCCCAGACAGAAAATGCTGCATCTTCAGACACTGCATCTTCTGACTGCTTGGAGAGAGCAGCCTGAGCTGTGCCCCTTGGGAATGCTGGAAAACAGAAACAGCCCAAGATCCCTTTCCATGTTCCCACTGCTGGGGGACAGCTCCAGAGGTCCTGGAGGTGGCAGCTCCTTGTGCAGAGCCCCGAGCTGTGTGTGGGCAGTGCAGGCTGGCACAGACACAGTGTTCTGCCTCTTGGTCCCCTCCCAGCCTGTGCCAGTCCAGCCTGCTTGGCTGGAATGGGAGAAAGGGCAGGCAAATCCGTGTTTGTAAAGCAGTTCTTTGAAAATGAAAGAGTTTGGGTATCTCAAAAATAAGCATAATTTTATCCAGGCAAAACATTCTTAGGTTCTGTATAATATTGCATTTACAATAAGGATATTAAAAAAGCCTGTTTCAACTTAAAATGCTCCAGACTCCTCTGCTGTGGGTTTATTCTCTGAGACACCCTGGATGCGTTATCCTCTCTAGACTTTGAGTTAGCCCTGGCACGTTTGTCCATCCTTTCAGTGGATTCCAGGGCTGTTGTTCAGTGTCACACAATGGCCATGTGTTGTCCCTGTCCTGGGACGGAGCAGTCCCTGCTGTCCCACGGCTCTCTGGTGGCACAGCTCCGTGTGCTCCTCACAGACCAGGCTCAGGCTGTGTCTGCTCTGAGTCTGGGCTGAAGGAAGGACCAGTGGTCATTCCTGTGCTGAGTATTTCACTTTTTATTCCAGTTCTGCAGGTGTTGGTGGTGCAGGATGGGTTGCATGTTCCACCTCTCTGTGCTGTCTCTTCTCTGTGTTGTGTCCCCAGAGTCCTGCTGGCACATGGGGTGGCAGCTGCACTGAGCAGCTCCCCAAGTTTCTGCAGCAGTTTTAATTTTGAAATTTCTTAATTACTCTGACTGCTGCAAAAACAGTTTATTTTCTACTTTTGTTCCTCTTTCCTGGTGCTGTTATGATTCACTCTTGGGAGGTTTGGAAAAGTGCTCCAGGCTTCCTAAACTTATGCAACAGTTGATTGGAAATCTGACCTACTTCAGAACTGCTCTCACCTGGCTGAGAATGTGGCTGAGACTGAGCTGCAGCAACATAAACTTCCCCCTGGCTTTGGGAAAGAAATTATTCATTATGAAAATTGGAGGTTTGTGCTATGAGGGAGGATAAACACTATGCTGCAAACTGACAAATTGCCCAGTCCTTAGATTGGGTTCAGTGGGAGCTCTGCTTGTTTGGGTAAAGGCCGGGATGTGAGGGGTTGAAGCAAGGTGTGATTTGTTAGAACTGGTGGAGGACAGTGTCTGCAATTGCTTCCAGACAGTACTGGGACAAACCTGAAGAAATCTATTTGAAAACAAAGCTGCTGCCAGGGACAGATTCTTGTAATTTAAAGAGGCACATCTCATTTTTCATTCAGGAATGTGCAGATGCTCCACGTGGGTATCGTTCCCAGAGGTGGCAGCTGTGGAGCTGTGTGCAGTGGATGTGACCCAGTGGGTTGTTGGGCAGCTCCTCTACCTGTTCACTTCTGAGTTTAAGCAAAATCCAAATTTTCATGCCTTGTTGAAACAAAAAGGGTATGATGCATCTCCGTCTGCACCAGCTGATTTTGATGTGTAACATGAAAAAGCCAAAAATCAAAGAGATGGACTGGAACAGGGACATGGGATCCAGGAAGGCTCATCCAGCTTTGATTTGTAGCCTGTTCTGCTGCACTTACAGAAAATATGGACTAATTCCCTCAGACCTGCAAAGAGGGGATTGAGAAAAACCCAGCTCTTAAAATGCCGCGAAGGATTGTGTCTTGCTGTGCTGCACATGGACCAATTCCTTTGGGGTGTGAAGGCCCTGGGTTTGAAACATCTCCAGGTGACTGTGGCCAGTGGATCCCAGAGTATTTACAGCCAATGTCCATAATCAGACTCCTCTGCCAGAAAAGGTGTTGGAGGTTGAGCTGCAGTCATCTCTGAACCTTTTTTCCTCCCTTGCAGGGCACCATCCGCAGGATCATTATCGAGAACCCGGATCAGGTAGGGAAACTGTGCTGGACTTCCCTCAGCTCCTCCAGGGGGGATGATAAACACTCAGAGCACACAGCTCACACCTCTGAGGGAATTATCAGGGATTGAAAACACTGCAGAATGGCCACTCAGGCTCCCAGCTCTCAGCAGTTAAGTCTTTATTAATATTGATTAATTACTGTTTCTACTGTATGTATTTCACATAGTCCCTATGCAAGCACAGCCACTCTGTTTCCAAATGGACACACACTCACATGTTCACATCCTAAAGGACAACTCACATACCTTTCAATTATCTATTTTTAGTCAAAATTGCACTAATCCTGAGTTTGCTGTTTGACAAGATTTATGGATGTTTTTATTTACATGTTTTACAGGAGCCATTATCCCCTTTTCTTCGAGGGGCCAGTTTCTCTCCTGGAAATAATGTCATCTATGAAAAAACAATAAGAAAATATGAGCTATTAAATCCCCTCCAAGTAAGTTGGGTGTTTATATTATCTGTTGCAAGAAGAACATTGAGTTGGTAGCAGGAAATTGATGTTTCTGGGTTGATTTTGTTTGGTTCTGGGTTTTTCTTTTTTTGGTTAGGAGTAGCTGCCAACCTGAGAACTGCCTTGTTGTGATCTAGGATGCATTCTCAAAGTAACTGAAGCAGAAAGGAGAGCAGAAAGTGGAATGTTGGCCATATTTTTCCTAAGAATTTATTATTAATTAACAATGAAAACTGCTGTTGTATCTCTAATATTGTCAGTCTATATCTGAGTAGTGGCTGTGAATTAGTTTCTTGTAATAGCTTCATAACAGAACAACCAAGATACATTTTTAGAAAAAAAAATTAAAACCACAATTTTTTATTTTACTAACTCTTGGAAAAATATGTTTGGCAAATCTGTCTGAAATTTCATCTCACAATTGGTGTTTTGTCAATAGAAAAAATACTGCTCCCTTTCATTGCTCTGAAACATTTCCAACAGGAAAAAAATTTGAAATTTAGCATTTCTCAGAGTGATTTACCTGAGGTTTTTTTAATTTTGTTTTTTAAAATGGGACTTTTCATGCCTCTCTGGATTTTTGATAGCTGAATTCTCTGTGATAACCAGTCTCTGAGGTGGAAAAGGAAAAAACTCGTAATTATAAACAACAGCTTCTTTCTTGCTGTAGATGATGTCCAAAGAAAAGAATAAAAATTTGTTGAGCTTAGCCCTGGAAACCGTAGTTTTACTTCTGGTTTTTGTTACCTGAGCTATGTTTAGATTTAGGTCAAATCAGGAGTATAGTAAAGGAAATTTCTGTGTGTAGTGGGGCATCCAGCTTGGGAAAAGTTTTTCACCCGTGCTTCTCACTGGCAGCTACTAAAACTGGGAGGAAAATTGGTGAATTACAACCCTGTTAGGTATAAAAAAAGCCATTTAATTTGGATTATTAAATCATCCAAAGCCACCACCAGCACGGCCAGTCATGGACACGTTTCATTCACTACTGAGGTTGATGTCCCTGCAGTGCCCAGCACTGACAGGTCCTTTCTGCCCCAGCAGGGGCATTTCCCACCCGTGCAGGGTACCCAGCATTAACCCTTTCTGCCCCAGCAGGGGCATTTCCCACCCGTGCAGGGTACCCAGCATTAACCCTTTCTGCCCCAGCAGGGGCATTTCCCACCCGTGCAGGGTACCCAGCATTAACCCTTTCTGCCCCAGCAGAGCCATTTCCCGCCCGTGCAGCCCAGCACTGACGGCTCCTTTCTGTGCCAGGAGCGGCAGTTCCCGGTGTGCCCGGCGGAGCCGTGCCAGCCGCTCGCGGTCACCCAGCAGTGCCAGCAGACACAGACGGGCAGTCCCTGCGAGCTGTGCCCGGGCCCGGGGAGTGACGAGTGCCGGGGACACCCCGTGAGGAGGGGCACGGCCCCCCCCGAGCTGGTGAGCGCTCCGCGGTTCGTTCTCAGGCAGGGACAGATCCCGGGAGCGAGCGCTTTTGTGGCTCTGAAGTCCCCACAGGTTTGTGTGGGACCCTTGTCACTGAGCAGGGTCTGTGTGTCTGTCTGGGACTGTCCACGGCTTTCTCAGGTGGTGTTGGGGGGGGAAGCTGTTTGAGAGTTGTATTTCCCATTGTCACAGACCTGTGCACTGACTGAGATGAGCCCGTGGTGTTTAGCTGGGCTCAGTCTCACGGGGCTGTTTGGTTTTGCTTTTCTTTACCCATCAATTCGGGTTTCACCTGTCAGTCTGTACACAAAGACTGAGGAATGTACAGCCTCTGCTTTGGGAGGAAACACACATTGCTTTATAACCTTGGCAAATATCAGCTCAGGGTTCCTTTTTTCCTATGCTGATCAGCCAGGGCTTCAAATATATTTCAATTTCATGCAAAAGTTGTTGACACAAATCCAGTGGAAGCACTAAAGGAGCTTCCTGGTGTACTTGCAGCCTGTTAGTGCAGCTGGGGAGGGAGTGCAGCAGGTCCCTCCTGTGCACCCAGTCGGTGTTTGGGTGACAAACACCCTGGGGACCTCGGTGTCAGACCTGTGCAGAACCTTCCAGAGCTGGACAGTCCCATCAGCCAGCTCAGGACACTCAGCTTGGGCTGAGGACTCTGCTGTGGAAGCAGAGTTCTTGTTGTTCTAAAGGAAGTCATTCCTCTCTGTACAGTTTATTGAAAACCAGCAGATATGGAAAACTCACTACCAAGAAAAGTGTAATTAAATTGAAAATTGCTAAGAGCAACCAGACCCAAATCCTACCTGTAGCATTTTCATGTTCAGCTTTCATCCCAAAGAAGGGATCCTGTCCTGATGCCCTGCCTGTCTCCTGCAGGTGAGCTGCCCCCAGGACAGCCCCGAGCAGCTGGACTGCCGCTTCTTTGGGGAGCTGCTGGCCGAGCTGCACCGCAAGAGCAATGACCTGTACAGCTGCTTGCTGCAGCACGTGGAGAAGATTGGGACAAGGTATTGCCACTGGATCTGTCATTGCTGTGCCCCAGACATCCAGCACTGCACAGCTGGCAGGGACAGTGTTGTTTGTTGGTTGTGCTCCTTGTTTCTTCCTGACAGCCAGAACTGACTGGGTGTTTTACACATTCATCTGATTTGCAAGTAACTGAGGACATAGAAATGCTGTAAGCCAAGGAAATTTATTGAATGTCATTCTTAAGAATTGTATCTCCTACATGTGTTTGTACATTGAGCAAACAAGAACTTACAGCAAACTGACATATATTTCATGACACAATTCTATTGCTGTGTCCTGAGGAAACAACCCAAATGTTCCTCTGTCCTGTCGTGGTGTTGTGTCATGGATTAAAGGACAGCCACCACCAGGCATAAAGCTCATTCTCTACATCCAAATGAACATAAAGCACATTTTCTGCAGAGCCCTGCAGACCATCTGTGGCAAGGAATGAGAGTCACAGCAGGCAGTGCCCTGCACAGCCCTTCCCCATTCCCTCCATCACCCTCATTCTTCCCCCTCACTCCCGATCTTGTCTGGTGCCTTCCAAGATCACTGAATAAGGAAAGTGGTCCTGTAGCAGGGGAGAAAGGGAATTTATCTATCACAGAAACCCTGAGAATGCCAAGTCAACACTTGGGGCAGGGCTGGGAATTGCAGCAGAGCTGTGGGCAAACCATTACCCAGGCAATTAAGGGAGTAATTGGGTTAACTGCCCATAATTGGGATAACTGCCCAAAGGACTGGGGATAGTCAGCCTGTGTTTGCAGTGCTGCTGGAGGTCTCCAGTCTCCCCAGGAATTCCTCCACAGAGGGAAGGTAATGACTCTTCAACTGAGAAAGACCCTTGCTCTGTATTGTCCAGATAATCTTTTAGTGGTGAATATGTGTCTGAATCCTGGAAGTTCTCAAACAGCTTTTTGTGTTTTACAGGAACCACGACATTGAATTCACGTGCCAGGTAAGGCCCAGGCTGTCCCCTGCCACCACTGGGGGAGGGCTCAAGCAAATAAAGCCAAAGCAGTTGAAGTGAAGGAGGCTGGTCTTGGTTAGTTCATGCTTCCTGCTTGATAAAAACATTCAGTGCCTGAAAACCACTGCCAGGCAGGTATTTGCAAATGTGGTAACACTGAAAGGAAACTTCAAGAATTTGCATTATTTCAGTATGAGAGTCAAATTTTGGAAGTCTATCCTGCTGTTCCAGTAATGGTTTCACTGGAAAATGACTTGCATAGGTACCTCTATTTTTACAATGTGTTTTTTGTAAAGGGTCTTTCACTCCCTGGCTAGTGAAGCTGCTGCTGAGCAGCAGGTGCTGCACCTTTGAAGGCATTCAGTGTGAATGGGGCAGAAATACCTGTCCAGGGTTCACCTGCAGGAAGCAAATGCCACTGAATCCTGGCAGCATCTCCTGCTGGTCATCTGGGGTTTATTGGCAGCCCATTCAGAAACATGAGGTTTTGCCCCCCATAAACTGCTGGGAGTTGTTGTAGCATCAGCTGTTGCTTCCTGAGAGAGGATTGGTTTGAATACTGCTTTTAAATGTTGAATTTAAGCATTTGAATATATGCTTCATGTATCATTTTATCTCACTTTGTACATGCCCCACATATAAAAGACTTTGGAAGTTTTCTGGATAGACTTTGATCTATTTTTGTTCTTATTTGCCTTGAACTAAGGATGTTTTTCATAGCAGAGCTGTGTAATTAATGAAGAAACCACATTACTAATCTACCAGGCAAAATTCTTAATCAGGATGTCTCCTCTTTCCTCCCTTCTTTGCTTAGACTGAAGATATTGAAGAATTAATTCCCAAAGGACTGTCTGAGGCAACAAAGCAGCAGATTCGTTATCTCCTCCAGGTATGGAGCTTGGCAGCCTGTAGGAGCTGGGAGCAGTAGGAGCTGGCTCACACACAGGAGGGACTTGGTACATAACTCCCTTCACTCTGTGTTCCCTCATCCCATTGTTTCTAGAGTGAGGGGGTGGAATGGTGGCTTTAAAGGAAGTGTCACACGGACCCACAGTCCACTTGTGTATTTTAAACTGAGCTCTACTGGGGCTTTCCTGCAGTTTCACTGGAAACTGTCCTGGCTTTTGACCACTGACAGGAGAACAGAGACCTTTCATCTTTCTGTGTTGTGTATTAAGGCTTTAAAGGCCAAACACAAACAGGAGGTGCTAAAAACTCAGAAGCAGAGCCTGAATCCCGTCTGCTCCCAGCCCAACCCCATGGCTGGGCATGGAGCAGGGAAGGAGCTGAAGAACCAGCCCAGGACAAAACTCTACACCTGAACCACAACAGGAATGGTTCTGTTTGCTGTTGGATGCCAAAAGCACAGCTCAGCACCCAGAGCTGCCTTTGCCAGGCAGGTGTGTCAGAGCAGGATCCAGGGCAGCCTCAGCAGGAGTCCTGATCTGGGCTCCTTCCCTCAGGTAGGGGGAGGGAGATCCTACCTGGGAGCTGCACCTTGGAATCACTTCCTGGTAAAAAAAAACATCCATTGAAATGAGGCTGAGAAGGAGCAGCCTGGTCTGAGTTCACAGCTGCCCTGCTCTGACATCCCCATCCCTTCCAACTGGAATTATTCTGTGCTTCTCTTACAAGGAAGATGGACCCAGATATTCCATGGCCTCACAGTGGCACACTGTCCTGGGAGGCTGGTTCAGCTCCAGGTGAAAAGTTGGAACAGGCATTTCCTGTTGTCTCTGTGTCCAGCTGGTTTTACATCCTCACAGCTGTGATTATAAAATGCAGCCAAAATGGCTTTTGGTGACCCAGGTGTTGTCAGGATCCACCCAGGACAGAGCTGGGAGGGAAGGGTTTGCACAGCCCAGGATCCCGAGCTGGGAATGCCAGAGGCTTCTTCCTTGTCTAAGGACACAAGGAATTCCACTGGAGAAGCACAAGGCACCTCTGGGATTTAGCAACCTCTAGCACTAAGCAATTACTGAGTGGGGTTTTACTTACATTTTTATAGTCTAAATTTCACCCTTTGACTCAATTCCTTCTTTCAAACTACTCTATAGTGTATTACACAATAAAACCAATAAAACCATAAGACAGAAGCAAAATTCCACTTTAATCACAAAACAAACAAAAAGGTGAGTTGCACTAGGAGTGAAGTCTCAGTCACACCACAGCACCAGTGGGGATAAAAAACTGGGCAAGGGCCAATTTTCTTATGGATAGAGAGCATGAGAGCTCCAAGTTTCACTTTGGTCTGGACAGAAAAAAACCCACAGCTTTTGTACAGAATATTCAGCCCTTCAAGGAGTGTTACAACTTGAGGAGTTATTTGTGTGTCCTTTCAAAGTCTATTATTTTTCTTTTAAATATTATAAGTGTATCATGAAATGCAACAATTGATATTTTCACCTGAATCAATACACAGCTATTAAAGGCATTAAAATTAACATTCCAAAGGAGAACAGTGGGCTGTGGTCACTTATGGTTTTCTCTTTCATCCAGATGACTCCTTTCATCTTTGGGATCTTTTTCCTTTTAAAGGGAGGAGTTGGCTGTATGAGCTTTTTTAATTTAAATTTTTAAAAATGTTAATTAAATTCCCTCATCCTTGAGCCCGGAGCTTTGCCAGATCTCAAACATGACTCATTCCTCTGTGCCTTTTAAGGCAGGGCAGTAATTTTGAAAAATCAGTGTAAGCACAAAGCTTTTAAAGCTCTAATAATAATTGTACAATATTAACACATTTGTTTTTCCCTTTATTGGTGTACAAAGGCAGTTCCTTACCCTGTTTTTCCTTCCATTTTAACAACGTTGTCCTGTGTTACAAGGCAGAAATTGAACACTGGCATTTGCAGAACAAAGTGCAAGGAAAATATTTCCTGTAGAAACTGTGGGCACTTCAAAGGACGTGCAATGGTTTTAGAAGTTACTGTCAGCTGTAAAGCAGTTTCTGTTCTACCTCTTGTCAGGCATATTGTAAACAAAGCTGCCTAATTAAACCAAATTATCCCTTTCATTTCTCCCCTCCCAGATGAGAGCGACGTCGGACAAATCCCTGAGACTTGTGCTTTCCACGTTCAAGAACCTGCGGGAGGAGCTCTGCCATTTGCAGGATGACCTGGGGGTGAGTCCTGCTCCTCCTCCAGCTGCTCCCAGCTGGAGCAGGAGCCCAGGGCTGGCATTCCAGGCTGTGGCTGTGCTGGTGGCAGTGGCTGCTCTGTCAGTGCCTCAGGGGGCTGGATGGACAGGGGTGCCTTTGGCAGCTCCACAGGTTCTCTGGGCTGGATGGACAGGGATGGCTTTGGCAGCTCCACAGGTTCTCTGGGCTGGATGGACAGGGATGGCTTTGGCAGCTCCACAGGTTCTCTGGCCTTCAGCCATCCCAGCCCTGTGGATGCAGGCAGCAGACAATTGCTGTTGTTTCCATCCCAGCCCAAGTGCTCAGCACCGCTGAGAATGTCACAGCATTGTCCTGGAAAATGCGATGTTGAGGGAGAAGAATTTGAACTTGAGCACAGAACAAGGAGTCAGTGCAGTGGACTTAGTTTTGGGTGATTTTTGGTTGTTTGGGACGTTTTGTTGGCTTCTATTTAAATTGTTTCTGGGGCAGACAGGAAGGGCAGTGTCCAGGATCCCAGTGCTCACCACCCAGCACAAAGCCATGGGCACTACAGTGTGTGCTATGTACCTAAACCCCAGACTTTGAAGAAAGTTGAGCATTCTCTCAGTTCTAAAATGTCCCTTTATTAATGACTGTGTTGAATTTCATGGGAAGAGTTTACTGAAAAATTGCAGCTTTTGACTGTAAACTTTTGACTTATGTCCTGCAGAAGCTGGAAACTGACAATGTCTTGCTGAAGAAGGATTTGGCTTTTAAGGATTCCCAAGTGAAAGAATATGAAACAATGCTGGCTTCTCTGAGGGAGAACAATCGTCAGCAGCAGGTAAATCAAGAAACATTTCCAGTGTCATTCCAGACAGCCAAAATGGGGGCAATTTGCTGACTTCTGGGTACTCTGAGTAACTGCTGCCTGCTGTGTGTGTGATGCTGTTCCTCCCCGGAGGAATTCCAGGTGCTCATTCCCCCTGTGCTTTCCAGCAAGGGCTCAGGGACAGCACTGCCAAATGCCGCTCCCTGGAGGAACAGCTCCTGTCCCTGCGGCTCAGCGAGGGTGACAAGGACTGCCAGCTGAAGGAGCTGGAGTACAGCAAGAGGGCCCTGGAGCAGGAGATCCAGAGCCTCAAGCTGCAGGTGAGGGCTCACCTGGCTGGGTGCAGTAGCTGAGTCCCAGACTCAGAGGGATCATTGTAGGAAAACTAACGATGAAAACTCTCTTTGTAAAATAAAATTGGGTTCTTTGCTGCAGAGCTGCTCCAGCCCCACCCTGCAGACCACGACAGACGAGCTCTCCAGCCGCTACGTGGAGATGATCAACAACCTGAGGGAGGACAAGGACAGGGAGATCCGCAGCCTCAGGGTAAGGGGCTCTGCTGCCTGTGTGCAGGGACAGCTGCTCCTGCACCTACAGCAGCAGAGATCTTCCACAGGCACTTTTTGGGTGTCTTCTGGCTGTGCAGTTACTTTACTCATAGACACTGGTGATGGTTTAAAACCTTTATAGTAGAACATAAAACCGTGATTTAAAAAAAACCCCAACTGTTCTTTACATGAAGAAATCAGGATCAACCTGATTAGTGGGCTGTCCTAAAGGGATATTTTGTGTGTCCTGATAACCTAAGAAATTAGTCAAAATATGCTTGATAGGAAACAAAAATAAATCCCAGTCACAGCTGTAATTAGGAAATGTCTCTCATGGAAATCAGTGGTAAAAGTCTCCAACTCTGGAAGCCAATTCAACTGGTTCAGTGTTGGTTTAGCTTGAGAATTCTAATATAATTAAATTACTACTGAGTAGAATTCAGTCCAATTAGCACTTCCTGAATTTACTGTGTGGCTCAACTCCCTCACCTGAAAATCCCTGGGCCTCACTGTTGATGGTGTTAAGGAAATGCCACTCCTGGAGCCCTGGGTGGGTGCTGAGGGGCCCTGCCCAGAGCCCCCCACACCTGAGAGCTCCTGCCTTGTTCTGCAGTCCCAGCTGTGCCAGTTCCAGCAGGACATAACCAGGAGAGAGGGGAGCAACAGCGACTTGCAAATGAGGCTGCACGAACTGACATCGCTGCTGGAGGACAAAGAGGCTTTTATTAAACAACAGCAGGAGGTAAAATAACACAAGTTATTTCTCTTCTAAGGGTTTTTGTGTTTAAGCCTCAATGTACTGTGTAGGTGGCACCTTACCAGGAAGTCCTTTGTCCTCTCCTGGCTCAGGAAAGGGGGTTAGGATTTGTTCTAACTGAATGCTGTTTCTCTGACAGCCTTCTGGAAGGGCAGATTTTCAGACTGTTGAGACAAATTTCTGCAAATATTTTGTTGTGGCTTTAGTGAACTAATACTTCAAAAACCATGACTTCACATCACTGTTTGCTTTTGATTTTGTCAGGAGCTCTTCAGACTGAAGCATGAGAAGTTATCAGGCAGTCAGTCCCCTGGGGTGACAGCCATCATCACTAAAAAGTAATGTGTTATTCACCTTTTTTAAAAACACATAATTTGGGCTTTCCTTTGTTTAGGCTCTGTTAAGCAACCTGTTCAATTCTCCACAGGTACAGGAATCAGTATCCTATTCTGGGTCTCCTGTCTGATGACTACAAGGTCACATCACCTGTCAATAAATCACAAACGATTGTAATTGAGAGGACTGGAGAGATCTGGAAACATGTAAGTTTACCTGGATATGGACTGTTCCCTCTGTAATCCCTAAGTGTTCAGTTTAACTTCAAAGCAAGTATTACCCAAACTGAGAGCTCAGCGATGCCCTCGTGGTAATTTAACTGCAAAAAGCAAAGTGACTGACTGCAGCCAGGGAACTGTCCTGGCTTTTGGGACAGGCAGTAATTGGTGGGTGTGGTACAAATAAAACCTTTTGTTGTTTTCTCTGGCACGTAATTACTCTGAACAAAAGCATCAGCTTGCCCTAACACCGGCCCCGGGGTGTTGCTGTACTGGGCAGGTCGGCAGGGACTGTGTCCTGCTGTGCTCTCAGGTGAGCAGGGATTTGGGAGGGCTGTGCTCCTCTGCACGAGGAGCATTAATGACTCCAAGCCATTAGTAAAACATAAAAAGCACCACATCCCTGAAACTCACCGTGAGCCAGGGCAGTGACGAACCCAGGAATGCAGAAGAGTGGTGACGTTTTAAGGAGTGATTCAGAGTAAAAATAGAAAACAGGGCTGCAGAAGCTATTTCTGTTACAGGCAGGGCCCGTGGTGCCAAGTCTGGCTACAAGGTAAAGGCTGCAGAAATGGCAGGGTGGCCAAGCAGGGGTGGTGGCTGCAGGCACAAGGTCACAGCAGCACCTGGACACAACCACAGGGGGACACTGCCAGGGGACAGTTCTGTGACAGGTAACACACCTGGCACGTCCCTCAAGGGGACCTTGCCTGCAGCAGGATTAAAAAAGCAAAAGGCTCGGGGCACTGGCAAAGAGCAGAGTTTTATTACTGAGCCCTAAACCTCACCCAGGTGCATTGCAACCTAGTGAAATGTCAAGCAATGAAACAGCAATAGAGAAAAGAAAACAAGTAGGTAATTAAATGAGATGCTTTATGGGAGATAATTCTGTTTCATAACAAAAACAGGTGTGTGTATTCCTTCTAACAAGCTGCTTGTTTCTTTTAGGAATGAGAGAAACCTCTGAGCCCTCAGAGCTGCTCCAGGGAGTTCACAAACCACTAAAACTGCTTTACTTTCTGCTCTTCTGCATCCAAGAAAAGGTTCAGTCTGATAGTGAGGAAGGCTGGGAAAACATTAAGGACTCACTTTTCCCTCGGAAGAGTGGGATGCTATCCCTGTGGACTTCAGCTGGTCTTGACTAGCTCCTGTTCTTCAGCCAGTCCTGAGGCAATCTAGGAGACAAAAGGAAGACACCTGAAACCTTTTCCTCTTCGTCCGTCTAGCCATGTTCTGTCTCTTCATGCTGAGAGTGGGAATGACCCCGAAGTCAGCCCCACCCCTCCCACAGCTGCTTTCAGTGCAGAGTCACGGGCTGCATGGGAACTTCAAAAATACCTCACTGGGAACTGCTCCTTACCTTACACCTGCCTCTGTCTGGGAAGCTCGGACACCAAGGACAAAACTTACACCAAACCCAGCTTCTGACCTGGCAAATGCCAGCAGGACCCAGTTCAGTGAAGGGCTGGGCCAAGGCTCAGTCTAGAGAATGCTTCTGACCTCAGAGGTGATGTATTTTCAGCCCCAAACCAGCTGTATTTATTTGCTGTGCTTCAAATTTTCAAGAACTTGGTATATTTTTATATAGAAGAACTTCGTGTGAAAATAACTCATGGACTAAATTTCCTTATCAGACCAACCTGCCATTTACAATTTCCACTCTTTGAAGGACCACAGAAATTTTTTCAAACTGATTTGGTGTTCATGATTCAGTAGTTGTCTGAGCAGTACAGCACAGAGACTCACAGGGAAAGTTTGCAATGCTGCAATCCAAAGGTGCTCTTTTATTGTGGGGTTCTTGCTTTGCTTTCCTTCTGCAGCCATGTATTTCTGTTCCCAGATACTATAGACCCTAGGCAATGTTTAATGGGGAAAGAATGCTGGAGGCTACCTGTACCATGAAATAAACCCAAGTCTAACTCTCTGGATCATTGTCTGTCTGTCCTGGAACAGCTGTCTTGTATACAGCTGGAGGAGTGTAGGTGGTGTCTTCTTCTTCTCCATGAATCTTCACAAGTGAAGGATTGGGGTTGGCTCCCTTTTCTGGCTGCTGCTGCTGCCAGAACTCCCTCAGGTGATGCTGGATGTCCAGCTGGCCTTGTGTTCTTCAAGACTGGGCAAAGAGCCATGAGTAAAACCTGTTCCTGCTGCTGCTCTTTGAGTGTGTCCAGGCTGAGATGGGCCTGCAGTTTCACCAGCCTGGTTCCCCCTTCAGCCTGGCTTTAATAGTGAAATACCCTCATTTGAACGAGGAGTGCCTTGCCCCTCTGCAGTCAGTAATTATTCTAAAACAGATGCTAAAGCAGCCCCCTTTTCTGCAGAGCAGTGAATAAAAGGTACATCTACACTCAGAGCTAAGGTGCTCCTGCCATGGGACAGTGACAGTGCAATAAATAATCTTAGTTACACTGTCAGCAAAAGACTTTTTACCTCTGGTGATCTTGAACACAAAAAGGACTAACAGTCTGTTCCATGCCATCAGAGTTACCTGTGCAGGGGTCTGGGTGCAGGTGCTCCTTGTGCTCCACCAGGGCCAGGGCGTTCCCACAGCTCAGACCAAGCTACAAAGAGCAGAAATGGGAGTTAGTAATGGCCACAGTTCCTGATGGCTCATCCCAGCCATGGATTTCCTGAGCAGCTCCTCAGTGACACCAACCTGTGTTTCCTCCACTCCATGGCACAGCACAGGGAACTCCTTAAGGTGGGACAGGGCTCAGAGCAGGAGCTGCTGGGTGTGGTGAGGCAATTCCATGGCAAAGGCCACCGTCAGGCAAATGCTCTTTTCAAATCCAGCGCATCCATCCCAGTGGAAACACCATCCTGGGACTGCAGGAAAACTGCAGCCTGCTCACAAAAAGCCCACGTTGCTGCTCAGGCCAGCCAGCTTTCCCTCCTGGGGACAAGGACAGCTCCTCAAAGAATCTGAAGGTCACCAGACCCTGTAAATGCTGCAGAGCAGAGGCTGTAATTACACTTTGTACTCACAGAAAACACAAAGCAATGAATGGCTGTCAAAAAGCTGAATTAGACTAGTAGATAAAGCATATGGCCATTTATTTATAGGCTGCTTTTGTTTTCAAACCATATGCATTTAAAAATCAAATGTAGTATTTTTTACTATGAAGTACCTGTTACTGTGGGCTCAGCTGTCCCCTCTTTGCTGTGGAACTGGAACTGATTTACCTAATGTGGTTTCTGCTGAAGTTTACAGAAAAACATTTTCTCATTTACTTAGCTCTGTAAATCCTGGTTAGAAACATATTACTTTAGCTCATTTCCCACCTCAATTTCAACTAGGTTCACCAAGACTTCTACATTTTTTCTAGGAACAAATTAGAAAGAAGTCAGACACTATTTACTTTATATAATTACAACAATATACATTCTGCCCTGTCTTTATCTGCCAGAATGCAGAGTCTTGTTTTGCACTGAAAAGGAAAAAACTGTCTTTGTTTTGACTGACCTTTCTGCAGTATTGAAGTTTCTCTGCCTCAGCTGTAAAATAAAAGCCAGAGCCCTGGCTGGGAAGTCCCTGACAGCTCCAGCAGCCACCAGCCCACACCCAGTACCTCACCTTTACCTCCAGCGTTCTGCTGCAGCTCTTCCTCATTTTCTCTCTAATTTATTGCCTTTAATTGTGGGCAGTTGAAACCTGAGGAAAGAAAAACATAGCTGATGATCAGGATGTGAATCACTTTTAACTGCACCTGTCAGGGCAATAAAAAGCTGCACCAAACAGATCTGACATTTCAGAGCAAGCCCTGCACACCTTTGGGAGGCTCTGCTTGCTCAAGCACCCCTGACCTGTCACAGCTCTCAAATATTTACTGGGAGAGGGCACTGAGAAGGATTTGGGAACTGTCCCTCAAACTGCTGAGAGGACTCAGGTGCCATTTTATCCTTCCATTTCAGAAGATTTAAAACAAACACCACTTCCTAGTAAAATCTTGTGTCAAGAACAGCAACCAACCTCTTGCTTTGATACAGAACAATCAATTACCTGATTATTTGGTCTGTCTGTAGAGTGGAAAAATGAGCCAGCACAGCCATGGGCAGTCAGGGATCATCTTCAGGTGAAGAAACTCCTTCAGTCCATGTATCCAACATAACATTCAGGAACAAAGCACTGACATTGTCAGAAATCCACAGCCTTAAATCACTAAGATTTTTTCCCTTCTGACTGCTGGGCATGCAAGGAAAAGCAGCAACAAAACCCAGATGAATTAATTCCTGTCTGCTTAATTTCTGCTCTTTGTGCAAAACCTATGAGTTCAGTGGCTCAAAGCCCATTTAATTGCACATGCTCTTCTTCAGCTTTTTAATCTGTCATTGATGTTGCAATTCAAGTATTCTAAAGAGAGGGAATTTAGGATAGCAGCATTTTTAACATTTACTTGTGCAAGCTGTTATTACAAAGGTAAAAAGGAAAAAAAACCTACCTGTTTTTTCCCAAAATATGTGAGAAGTTTTTTTGCTCTCTTAAAGGAAAAAAAAATAATTCAAAGGAATGTCAGTATCAGATTTGATAATTATTTTAGAAATAAGCAAAACAAACACAAATACATTACCTGTAAGTCTAAAGGGTTAAATCAAACCCACTGTTCTCTCCTCAACAGTCTGATAAAGAGACCTGCAGTAGCCTGTTTACTAGAAATGTGATTACATATTAATTAGTGAATAATGCAATTAAAAATATCAGGTGAATTTACAGAGAAGGGGACTTTCCTAAACACCATAAATGAAAAGGAAACTCCAAAAAAATCTGGAGTGCAAGAGATGCGTTTTATTGTATGCCCGTTACGATGAGTAACACATTTAGAAATAATAATCCCACAGAACAGTGACAATCTTATTTTACAGCGTGTACATCATTTTTTACAGCCACATAAAACACTTATTTGTCTAAGAGATTTCCCAAATTTTAACTTTCTGAAGTTTAGAAATATAAAAAAAATTTATTCTCAAGGAACTGATTCTCATCTGGTGCAAAAACAAAATATGAACATTATCTGGAACACAAAGCCACAATATAGCATGAAGTTACAATTTCTCATGTGAACAGCTGTGTGCAAACATGAAGCAACTAAAAAAAGTAAAAAATACACATTATATGCATAACATTTATGACCAGGTTTTTCATTAAATAGCCCTAGACCAGCTCGTTATATAAGCGCCATTGGATTTGCAGCATGCTAACACAAAGCATTTTTAAAGGGATGCATATTTTAAATGTATACACTGTAAACTCAAGATCCACCTCCAAACTCTAGTGGCAGCAGGTTTTTCTGGTTAAATACTGCATATATACTTTCTTACAGATTGAAAATGCATGTTTATAGCATGGTATAGATCTTTTTTTAAAAGAATCGATTAAAAGGTGCAATTTTACCTCTATATGGAAAATTTCATATTAGGAGGTAGGACAGTAACTGTCATACCTGTTAAGAACACTGCCCTAAAGAACCTCTAAGTACTTTGAATTTTAATTAAAAAACCCCTACAGTTTTCAACTGTTTTTAATATTCTTTTTAGAGAAGACTTTAAAGTAGCGAGGAAAAAAAATTAGTGTTGAGTCACAACACTATGAGCTGCATCCATTTTTATCCTTTAAAAAAAAAAGTCAAATTCAAAGTTAATTTTGTTATATGTGCCATACTGAACAACATTCAACTGTAGTTTCAGATAAAAAAAGGGAAATTATATACATATACATCTTTAACCCTAGCACCAGAACACCACCTCTGAGACCATAACATAATGCTCTATTTTAAACATCATATCCTGCAATAAAATAGGTTAGCAGCTTTGAAAACCAGTAAAAAAATGCTTCTTGGACCTAAACTAATAAAGGAAACCAAAAAGTTTCCCTATGAAATGTTTAAAAAAAACTCAAACCAAACTGAACAAGGGACACCCCCCCCCACCCCCAAATTTCACCAGTTCTGGAATTCAATTTCTAGGCACAATTGAAAACGTTGTGATGAAGCGTCTGACTAAAACTCCCTGTCCCAAACTGCACAAGAAGTGAAGAGGGGGCTCCTTTGCAAACCCTCTGTAGCTCACCCCACCAGGGATCTGTTTCCATACTGGAGACACACGTTGGGACTGACAGAATGGCTCACACAATCAGCTCTGCCCTGTCCTCTAGACCCAGCAATGGCAAATACTGTTCACTTGGAGACATTCATCCATCTTTCTGCAAATTTAAGACATTCATCCATCCTCTGCATTCTCTAGTGCTCTTTAGGTTCTGATCAGCAACAATCATAGGGCTATGAGATCCCCTGCCAACCCTAATACTTTTTAAGACTTTTAATACAAAGAATGTAAAGTTATGGTTTAATATCAAGCTTTGAAACCAGGAGAAACAGTTCGTGAGATTTATTTTTTTCCCCAATTAGCATATCACAGTTTCTACACCGCTTCCTGCTGGAGCTCACCTATCACATTATGGCCTCTTTGTGGTGCCTCATTATGTGCTGATTTTTCTCGGAGGGCCTGCGGAAGCCCTTTTTGCAGAACTCACACCTGTGGGGGTAGTCTTTGGTGTGGATGGAGATGACGTGGCGCTTAAAGCCCGACGCGTCCGTGGTGCTGTACTCACAGTACTGGCACTGGTACACCTTCCTGCCACTGTGGGTCTTCATGTGCTTCTTCAGTTCGTTCTGCTGCCTGAAGCCCCTTTTACACCTTTTGCATTTAAAAGGCAGGTCCTTGGTGTGAACGGAGAGGATGTGCCCACTGAGCACAAAAGGGTCGGAGGTTTTGAAGTCACAGTGCCTACACTGGTGGATCTTTTTCCCTTTATGGGTCTCGCTATGCTTTTTGAGCTCCGAGGGCCGGTGGAAGCCTTTCTCACACACCTCACACTTGTGGGGAAAATCCTTGGTGTGCACTGAAATGATGTGTCGCTTCAGGTCACTGGAGTTGGTGCTCTTGTGGTCACAGTGGGGACACTGGTGAGTCTTATGCCCTTGGAAGAGCTCGGTGTGCTGCTGCAGCTCCTTCTCGTCGGCGAAGGCCTGGGGACAGTGCTCACATTTAAAGGGCAGGTCGGTGCCGTGTTTGGTTTTGATGTGAGTTTTCAGGTTGGACTGGTCAGCACACCTGAACACGCAGTGCTGACACTGGTATGGCTTTTCCCCCGTGTGGGTCCTCATGTGCTTTTTCAGCTCCGAGGGGTGGCGGAAGCCCTTCCCGCACTCCACGCACACATGAGGGAAGTTCTTGCTATGGACTGCCAGCAGGTGCCTGTTGAGCAGCCCCTGCTCTGCAGTCTCATAGTCACAATATTTGCACTTGTGGAGCTTGGGCTCCTTGTCCCTCAGGATGAGTTTATTGGAACTCAACGGGCTCGCCTCTCTGTATCTTCTCGTGTACTCTGTAAACTCGTGCGTTTTATCAACTTTATTTATAAGTTTATGGCTTTCCAGATGATTGTGGAAACTTACTTTTTTGTTAGTTGTAAAGTCACAGTCTGTACACTGGTACTTCTTCTTGATCATATGATCGGGATGGTTCTTCATATGCCTTTTCAAGAATCCTCTGGATTTAAATTTTTTCCCACAAATATGACAAGGGTAAACTGTTAAGGGCTGTCCATCAGGACCTATTATAACAGCTGTTTTTGAACAAACAAAAACAAGTTATGAAGGAAACACATTTACTGATTAAGAAGTTTTAAATCAGCCAAGTGCTGTTCAGATTCATGCACTTACACTTGCAGCAGAGAGAGAGTGGCTCAGTAGTTTAAAAAAAACCAATCCACAGCACCTATAGTTTATATAGTTCTGTTTTAGAAACTGCTCAAACAGATCAGGAATATCACATGTGCACTGAATATAGCCATGGGTACTTTTTAATAGCTTGCAACATTCAAATGAATTGCATCAGCCCTGGGTGTACTGACTCTGAATAGCAAAATATGACATTTTCTAGGCACAGAACTGGAGGGGGGAAGGACACAGGAAATACGCAAATCATCATTTATAGCTTTTAATTCTGCATCAGCTTAAAAAAGAGAAAAGGAATAGGACAGGAGTAAGTGGCACTCCGTGACAATACCGTAACCATCCAGTGTTTACCTGTTTGCCATTGCCTGGCCTCTCCTCTCCTCCTTTTCTTGGTTTTTTGTTTGAGCACTCTATTAGTGCTAATGCTATCACAAATCTGCAGGTACTGTGTTGCATTACCGTTTTTGTTTTCTAATCGTGTATCCAAGTTATTTCCTAGAAACAAAAATTAGACACCATAAAAAACCTTAAACAACTTGTTTCTTTGGGACTGACGACTGGAATTGCACAGCAGCATTATCTACTTTTTAAAAACAAGCATTGCCCATTCCTCTACAGCAATATACATTAATAAGAAATGTGCTAATGGGAACCCCTATCTATCTTTCCTGGCAAAAGTCAAGGGTATGATTGTTTAAACACTAATTCATTTCTAATTATATTCCATGATTTTTATTTAACTTGTTTTCACTTCTTAACAAGTGCATTATCTATTTTCTGTCTGCAAAACTACATTAAAAACTTGGCAGTGCCTCCCAAATTCCCCACCCCCTCTGAAGGCCTACAGACATCTAGAATTGTTTTCATTCAAAACAACAGAGAAAGACTGAGGAGTCCTTCAGTATCTAATTTATGGCTCATTCTTTGCATCTCTGATTAGGAGCACTGACACAGAAATATCTGCTTTTTCAAAGACAGTTTTATTTTTAATGCTGTTAAAAGTTCTCACCTGCCGCTTGACCATCTTCGTATCTTCGGGGAAGCCTTCTTTCATCTCCTGCAGAAAATGGTATTTTAGTCATTATAAAATAATATTCTTTTTAAAGATGCTGCTTTTGAAAGCCTGATAATGAGAGAAAACTAACTTAGCTAATAAGTAACAGGTTAACACCATCCAAGTGGAGATGTGCAGGTCGGTGTTGTGTAATCATGAGCCTCAGGAACCAAAATCCCATCTCTGAGAGGAGTTAATATCCACCCCATCTGTGTTTGCATGCTTACCCTGCTGGATCTCCTGCTTTCCATTATTAATATGCTTGTTTCTGCAAACTTTTAACCTCATCTATCCCCTCAGATAGCAATGCAGAGGTTATCTGAAATGCACACTTTGCTCCTGAGATGGAAGCACGCTATCTGCCTGGAGTAGAGGGAGGCAGATAAGAGGACTTGGCCCTTATCAGCTCTCAGCACAATGGAGTTTTGGAGATGCACAAGGAATACCTCAGGAGCACATTTCTCATTTTGCTGCTATGTGCCAAAGCTCTGTGGTTCTGAAGTACTTTACCAGCCCAGCTGTTGGGCTGTCCTTAACACACCAAGGAATTTTCACTAACTTGCTTAATTAATTGTAACAGAAACTATGGATAACTTGACACGCTCTTAACAAACATTTAACACACCAAAATCCAA